ATATATATATATATATATATATCCTCCAGTACTTTTCTTGACATATGGAAACTTATATAAGTTTAAATCATATATTTAGTTAGATAATGTTTTTAGATTATAAATGTGTGTGTTAGCTTGTATTCGTTTTTATTCATTTTATATCAAATTTATTCGACTCTATCTAATATTTTCCCCATTTTCTTAATAATACACATATTTACAAATATACATTGACATGAAAGGAGTATTTGGACACTTTCAGAAATATTTATTTCGTGCACTTTCAACGCTTACATTTTTATCCGAAAAAAAACTATAGAGGTGATGTATTTTGAAATAAAATTAACAAATTCTAGAAATGAAACACATTGTTTGAGACATACAACGCAAGGCAAAATGTAATCAAAATTAATGCTGAAAAAAAATTATCCTGGCACTATTAAATATTTTTCATAAAGGTGTTAATTAAGGAGGAATGCATATGAAAATCTTCCAGAAATAATTCTAGTTCTAGGTATGACGATAAACTACATCCGGCAGCTAGGCCTCTGATCGAGAGATTGGAGATTTTGAGGAACGTTGTACCACATCATAATTGCAGGTGTTCCAAGGTCCAACCTTAACCCTTGTTGGTAGCACCTGTTAGGGTCCCAGCTATACGCAAATTATAACACCCCACAGCAAAAACACAGCACTAGGAAAGTATAAAGATGTATTTTTATAAAAAGAATACCAGCAATTGATTTTGTGTATGGAAAATTCCTAATACATTTTATCTGTATTTGGAGGCATACGATTTCGTCCAAAATATATTTAGTTAAAGCTATAATTTTTTTCAAATTTTAGCATTAAATAACCCACAGAAGTTGATAGTGATTTTCCAAGCGTAGCTTAGATATGGCACAAGGCCGAAAGAGAGGGGCACCCAGTGAGGATCAAACTCACTACTCAGTCGTAATTAATCTAGCAAGACGAGCTTGCTAACCATTACACCGCCTTGGGTCGCCTCCCGCAGAAGTTGATATGTCGCTAAACAAAATCAACCAACCAAAATCAAAATATTTAGATTTCGACATTAAATAAACCAAAGAGGGTTTGATTTGCCACTAAACAATTTCAACCAACCAATATATAAATATTTTTATATTTCGGCATTAAATAGCCCATAAAGGTGTTGATATGCCGCTAAAAAATATCAACCAACCAAAATAGAAATATTTAGATTTCGGCATTAAATAACCCACAGAGGTGTTGATATGTATGTACTGTTACAGGTGCTATCACCCCGGGTTAAGGTGGCCATGAAAACAACCGCAGTTATGAGGTGGTTCCAGGTTCTCAAAACCTTCTACCTCCCAATGAGAGGTCTTACTGCCGGATGTAGTTTGTCGTCATACCCAGGACGTGATTCCTTTATATTTATATTTATATATATATATATATATATATATATATATATATATATATATATATATATATATATATATATGTAAAAATATATGGATAGAGATCCGACAGTATGAAGAAAAATATACGGAAAATCAAACAAAAATCCTAATATACAATTATGCTGTTTTAATATTAATATAATGTCAACGTCGGACGTTTCGGTCTAGTCGACCATCTTCAGGACATATTCATAAAACATAATTAACATTAGACTATATTCAATTCAATATGAAAAGACAATGGACATAAGAGTAAAACTAATCAAAACAAACAAAAAAAAACACCTCTTAACTTCAGGTGTTCCCATGGCTAGTTTAACACGGTGTGGTAGCACCTGTAACAGTAAATTTTATAGAAAAATTACCAACAATACATTTTTCAGCAGTACATCAGATATATGTCAGCAATACATTTTATCATCTAGAACTGTATATCCAAAAAATACACGCTTACCCTGAAAGGATAGCATTATGTCTCTAGTTAAAGACTGCGTTCAAAATACCTTTAGTTAAAGATATAAAATTGCGTTTAAAATATCTCTTGTTAAAGACATAAAATTGCGTTCAAAAGACCACTAGTTAAAGACATAAAATTGTGTCCAAAATATCTTTAGTTAAAGATATAAAATTGCGTTCAAAATATCTCTTGTTAAAGACATAAAATTGCGTTCAAAATATCTCTAGTTAAAGACATAAAATTGTGTCCAAAATATCTTTAGTTAAAGATATAAAATTGCGTTCAAAATATCTCTTGTTAAAGACATAAAATTGCGTTCAAAATATCTCTAGTTAAAGACATAAAATTGTGTCCAAAATATCTTTAGTTAAAGATATAAAATTGCGTTCAAAATATCTCTTGTTAAAGACATAAAATTGTGTCCAAAATATCTTTAGTTAAAGATATAAAATTGCGTTCAAAATATCTGTAGCTGAAGCCATAATTTTTCGTACAACATATTTAGAATTCGACATTAATAAAGGTTGATATCCCGCTATGCAAAATTAAATAAACCAACTAAAATGAATCAAACTATCGGCAATGCGTCAGAGAACACATTTACCAATAGTAAACCTGCCAAAAAAAACAAAGAAAAAGATCAAGAAAAAAAGAGAAAAAAGACAAAAACAGATCGAAACCAACCTACACAAAAACAATCTGGTTAGGTGTCCATAACACTTCATTTTCCTTTTCTTTATGGTGGTCAATACGTTCTTTACTGTGATTTATCTAATGACGTTCTTCTGCTCACCTCTTCATTCGTGACGTAGTCGGTGTTGGATATAATTAAGAAAACATCTGAAGTATCTTACCTCGGCAGAATGGACCCGTCTTTGGATTCTCATAAATATAGGAGGGCATACAGCAATCTCTTTTTGAAGGTGAGCTTTGGGTCAACCCAGATCGGTTTCAACTGTGCCATTGCGGTCGTTGTCAGTGCAGTTCTCATAGTGATACCTGGCTTGGGTATATCTTGACTGATAATTACACCGAGGTATTTGAATAGCTTCATCGTCTCCAGCTCTCAACCACTGATTGTAATTGATGTCCTGATATGTTCCAATTTCCCACCATAGTCTTGGACATGGCGATAGACTACATCCGGCGGTAAGGACTCTGATCGCGAGATTGGAGGTTTTGAGGTACGTGGAGACACCTCTTCATTGCTATTGTTCCCAGGTCTATCCGACCCGGGGTGGGGGCAACAGCAACTGTAAGGGCCTCAGCTATGGGCACACAGTGAAACACCAATCAAAACAGTATGAAGCTATGTATTTGGGTATTAAATTGCGCTTCAGAAGACAGTTAATAATAATTTATCTTTTAGAACAACGACTCACAACCGCCGTGCTGCGGCACACTTCTGAGCTGCTCGATCCTCTTAAGTGTAGCGCGAAACATAGTTATGGTATACATATATATATATATATATATATATGTGTGTGTGTGTGTGTGTGTGTGTGTGTGTGTGTGTGTGTGTGTTGGAATAGTAATGGTACAGCGTTATTATTTGAATAAATTAATAAGTATTTTTTTTCAAATAATTTTTTCACTATTCTTCAATAAAATCGCGGTCGTGAATCCCGTAACCCATCAGGGTCGTAGGGGCACCACACGTACTGCAGCCGCAGTCGATGTGGTGTTTCTTGGGAAGGTCTGGCAGAATCCAAGACTCTCCAGGCCGATTTTGAATTCAGAGTTTTCTTCTCCAAGACCGGTTGCCACCGAAGGCTATAAAACCACTCTATCCTGCTATTTATCCATAGCTGGGGGAAGAAGAATAGGATTAATACCTTTCCCTAGGTTATTAGCATATAAGTGAATCTAATGAATTCGTCTGAAATTCGATCTCGGCTCTCCGATTCCACAATCAAAGCGTCCTCTTATTTTAAATTCATTGTTTTGATATTCATTTTTTTTAATTATTTTTTTTTAATTTAACTTTATAAATTTTCTTTTATTTGAATGAATGAATGTTAATCTTTTTTCATACAATTGTATTCAACATCCTTATGTGATTTAGGTTTCTCAATCCTAAACAACATGAGTTCTGCGTAAGACGATAAACTACGTCCAACAGCAAGGCCTCTAACCAGGAGGTTTTGTAGAGCCTGGATCCATCTCTTAAATGCTGGTTTTACCAGATCCACCTCGACCTGGAGTGGTAACACCTGTTAAGTTCCCAGACATGAGCAAATAGTTAATCTCCAAACTGGATTCAAAACACTATGAAAGGGTAAAAATAGATTTTAATACCGTCAATACATGTTTGTAAAAAAATTATTACCAACAATGAATTATTGAAGAAAAATTCATTGCCAGCAATACATTTTTGAAAAGAAATTACCAGCAATACATTTTTGAAAGAAGAAAATGTTATCAGCTATATATTTTTGAAGCAGAAGGTGTGGCCAGCAATATATTTTTGAGGTAAAATGTATTACCAGCAATGTATTTTTGAAGAAAGAAAAATATTGCCAGCAACACATTTTTGAAGAAGAAAATATTACCGGCAATACATTTTCTAGGAAAAGTATTACCAGCAATAAAAAAAAATTGTCTGCATTAATTAAACCATTGAGACTGATATTCCGTAAAACAAAACATACCAAACCAAACAAAATATAAAAAGAAGCGTTAAAGTCAACACTTAACTAAAGAAGAAATGGGGGTCTGCTTAATACACATTCAGACAAACACTGAAGAAATGAAGAAATAAACAAAAGTCACGGATTTCACAGTAAATAATCTGCAGAAATAAATGAATAGAAACATTTAAATAAAGTTCATATATTTATGTGTATTTTTTTTAATCTAAGTTTTTTAAAAATTTCGCTATCTGTCGTGATATTTTCAAATATTCCTAGGTGTGCCGATGTTGAAAAAGGTTGAGAAACACTGGGTTAGAGGCTGTCTTTCTGTGACGCCATCTTACTAATTAGACTACGAAAGCTACTCGACATACAAATATTCTTCTTCTTCTGTACCTTGTTCCTTCTTGGTGATTATGGCTCTCCACACTTTTCCGTCCTTTGTAGCTCTTAATACCCTTCATTTTTTTGTTATCTCACCTAAACTGAAGGGAGAAAATATTACCAGCTATACATTTTTTAATCAAAAGGTGTTACCAACAATATATTTTTGAGGTATAAGGTATTACCAGCAATGCATTTTTGAAGAAGAAAATATTACCAGCAGTACATTTTTGGTGAAAAGTATTGCTAGTAACAAAAATTTTATCGGCATTAATTAACCCATTGGAGTTGATATGCCGTAAAACAAAACAAACCAAACCAATATATACTCAGATAGATAGATAGATAGATAGATAGATAGATAGATAGATAGAAAATATAACCAGCAATAAAAATCATGTCGGCATTAAAATAACCCATTGAGGTTGATATGCCGTAAAACAAAACAAACCAAACCAAACCTAAACAAGATTAAAAAAAAAGAAGCGTTAAAGTCGACACTTAACTAAAGAAGAAATGAGGGTCTGCTTAATACATATTCGAACATTGAAGAAATTAAGTAAAGGACATGAGGCACAGATTTCACACTAAATAACCTACACAAATAGTTGAATAGAAATATTCAAATAAAGTAAGTTTATATTTTTATGTGTATTTTTTTTTTAAATCTATGTTTTTTTTTCATAACTTTAAAAATTTCGATCAGTGTGCCGTGATATATTCAAATATTCCTAGGTGTGCCGATGTTGAAAAAGGTTGAGAAACACTGGGTTAGAGGCTGCCTCTCTGTGACGCCATCTTACTAATTAGTCTACGAAAGCTACTCGACATACAAATATTCTATAACTTGTTCCTTCTTGGTGATCATCGCTCTACACACTTTTCTGTCCTTTGTAGCTCTTAATACCTTTCATCTTTTTGTTATCTCTCCTAACCCATGTTCCGCTGACCATTTACTCAAGATTGCTAAGTAGGTTACACGTTGTTTTCCACTCTCCCGCTTTACCTTCAATCTGTCCTCTGAGTATCAAGTTTTCCAAGCCGTCTTTCCTCATTATGTGGCCTAGAAATTTCACTGTTCCATCCTGATGTTAATTAGAAGTCTCTTTTTTGTCTCAGTTACCTATAAAACTTCGTCGTTGCTTACATGTTCGGTCCATGGTATCCTAAGCATCCTTATGTAGGGACATATTTCTGTTCTTCCTCAATAAAATATATCCACCAGCAAGGCCTCTGATCAGGAGATTGGTGGTTTTGAGGAGCATAGAACCACCATTTAATTGCTGTTGTTCCCCCATCCACCCTGACCCGGGGTGGTAGCACCTGTTAGGGTCCCAGCTATGGGCAAAAAGTGAACCCCAAACAAAATTTAACAGTACATTCTTTGTAGCAAAATGACCGAAAATACATTTTTATATCAAAATGACAAACAGTACAACACTAAAAAGTATAAAAATACATTTTAAGGTAAAAATTTGTTTTATGTGAAGCGTCAGAAGATTTTTTCTCGCCTGAGTCCATCTTTCAAATCTACAAATCAGCCATTCGTCCTTGCATATATGGTCTGGTGACCCTGCAGTTCATCTTGAGGTCCTCGACAAAATCCAGAGATGGATATGCAATGTGATAGGTCCTGATCTGGCATGTCGTCTACAGTCACTTTCTTACAAACGTGCAGTGGCTTCCCTCTGTCTTTTCTACAAGTATTTTAAGGCAACTGCTCTGAACGAGCTATTTTCACTGGTTCCCAAAGTGCATGAATTTAAGCGTGCTACTAGGTTGGCATCTCGGTCCCACGCTTTCACAGTCGAAACAGTTAAATGTAGCCGACTCCTCTTCTCTCGCACTTCCCAACAGAGGAACTACCTTCCTCTTACTTGCTTCCCTAATAGCTATAATCTACATATATTCAAATGTAATGTCAATCGGCATCTTCTGATGCCTTGACACTGATCCCCATCCTTCTCTATATCCTTTTCTTCAATCACCCCTTTTTATTCTTGCTCTCGCTCTCTGTAACCCCTTGAGTGATAGTGGCACTCCCGCCTTACTTGGGGTGATATGCTTAAAAAATATTACCAAAAAGAGGGTTAAGAATGATAAGTTTATAAGAATGATATTCAATGGAGTTAAATGTTCATTGCTAGAGAACTAAGAAAAATATTATATTGATGGACAAGAATCGGCTGCTTTAAATCCAAATCAAAGAAATGAAGTATTTAAGGGAACACTAGAAAAGTGAATTAAATATTGAACTGTATTATGACAGCAGATACGGGATTTCTTGCATGTAGATGATTTTAAATTATTTTGATTGAAATTCAGGGAGAAGAAGGAAATAGAAAGAAAGAAAAAGGAACATGATGGAAAATTGAAAGAAAAAAGAAAAAACAAATCAGAAAAAGACAAAGAAGGAAAGAATTCACAGAAGGAAAAAAGAGAGAAGAGAAAGAAAGAAAGAATAAATAAATAAAGTTAAGTAAAAAAAGAAGAAAATGGAAAGGAAGTAAGAGAAGAAGAGAGAAAATGATAGAAATAGTGAGGAAGAGATAAAGTTAGAACAAAAGAAAGAAAGAAAGTTGAGAAAAAGGATAACGAGAAAAAAAGCATATAAGAAAATGGGGGAATAGATAAACGGAAAAAAAGAAGAAACGGAAATAAGGAGACAAAGGAGAGAAAAGAAAGAAAGGAAGAAAGAAAGAAAGAAAGAAAGAAAGAAAGAAAGAGAGAAAGAGAGAAAGAAAGAAAGAAAATAAAAGAGAGAAAGAAACGACGGTAAAAAAAAGTAGAAGAAAATAGAGAGAAAGAATAAAATAAAAAGAAAGTAAGAGAATGTGGGAGACAATGGTAGAAATAGCAAGAAAGAAAGAAAGAAAGAAAGAAAAAAGAAAGAAAGCATGAAAGAAAATGAAGGAAGAGAGAAGGAAGAAACAATAAGAAAGAAAGAAAGAAAGAAAGAAAGAAAGAAAGAAAGAAAGGAAATAAAAGAGAGAAAGAAACGAGGGGAAAAGAAAGTAGAAGAAAATAGCGAGAAAAGAATAAAATAAAAAGAAAGTAAGAGAATGCGTGAGACAACTGTAGAAAAAGAAAGAAAGAAAGAAAGGAAGGAAGAAAGAAAGAAAGAAATAAAGAAATCAAAATTATTCGCTTTCTAAAAATACTCAT